GTGGTCATTGTAGATAATCGATAGAAATTGGAAGCTCCTGAATCCGATTCATCAGAGTCTTCATTATTTTCAGATCTAGAACCATTTTTATTCTTTCGATTATTTGCCTTGTGTTTTCTTAATACAATGCCTAACCGACTTCCAACTTCTTCAAGTTCAGTTCTTAATTCAGCTATTGTCCTTTAACGAACTTCTGCTGCTGTATCATCAACTTTTCTTAATAATTTAGCTATTTTGATATTTTCAATTTCAATAATAGTTAGTAAAAAAAATTGTTTTATTTCTAAATTTATTTATTTAAAATTTATTTTAAAAATTATACATATCACATGTTAAATAGTTGATTTGAAAAAAATATTACAAATAGTACTATAAATAAAATTTTAATAATAAATAAAAATTTCTGAATTTTTTGATTTTATATAAGATTTAAAAAAAAGTTGGAAATTTTAAGATTAATTAATATAATAAAGAATTAGATTAATTTATAGTATAAAAGTATATATTTTGAGTTAAATTTAAAGTATATATAAATAATAATTAAATTTAAATTTTAAATTAAAATTTATTTTAATATAATATAGATGATGCTTTAACGAGTCACCCAGAGCTTCCATTCAATTTAATAAATGAGGCTCCTTCATTGAATCTTCATCACAATAATCTTACTTACAAATTAAAAACAGTCCCTAGCAATATTACACAACATCATATAAACAGAGCTCTTTCTTATTTTGGTTCAATCGCTTCTATTGTGGATCAATACAGAAACCAATACTCCTCGTCACGTGACGTTATCATCACGTTTGACAAAGTTAGAAAATTACATCAGTTGAATATGGCTTGGACGCATAACATAAATGGCCAAGTGATTAGATGTGCGCATATTGATACTTCGATAAACAAACTAAAAGATAGGAATCGTTATATAGCTGGCTTTAAAGGTTTCATGAATAAAACTACATCAGCTGATGCCTTCCGTACCCTAAGAGCATTTAATGCTAGATCTTGTTACTTTTACAATAATATCACCTACGCTGCCTTTGCATCTGAAGAAGATATGAACTCAGCGTGTTCACAAAAAATCATATACAATAGATATAAACTAGATAGAAAACCTAGAGTCCTTTACCGTTTTTACACACAAGCTGAATTAGCACATTCATCTGATAATACCACTCATAGATTCCCTATCAACAATCATCAAAGAAACAGGCGCCCCTCATTCAACAATAATCTAAATAAAGGGAAAGGTAAAGATGTTGAATACACACTTCCTACCACACAAAATACTGAAACTCCTCCCAATAGTTCTTCTAATCCATTGGATTTAATTTTAGCTAAACTCCAGGAACTAGACTTAATTAAATCTCATTTGGTAAAATTAGATTCTCAGATCCTTGCTTTTACTAATTATGATGGGTCTATAGCTCGTCGATTATAACATACTCCACATCAGGCGAATTACAGCTAAAAAGTATTCCTACTGATAACTGGAATACTTCTAATATTAATACAGATATTACTTCTTTCTTAAACAATCAAGTTTCCCATTTCTATGATAATAGACAAAACGATATCAATAAGATAGATAATGATCTTATGCAATTAGATGAAAATACATGTAACAATATAATCAAAGGAGATACAATAACTTTTGCTACACATAATATACGAGACATCAACAATACAACGGACCCTATTAAATCTTCGCAAATAATGGAACATTTTAGGCATCATAATGTAGACTTTGTAAGTTTCACAGAAATTCATCACAATTTATCGATGCTTTACAAACACAAACAAGATCAACAATATACAACCTTTTGGAACCAGCCTGATCCAATCCAATCCTTTGCAGGTGTTGCTCTATTAGTTTCAAAAAAATGGGACAAATACATTTCTTCCTTATTTACATCAGACCCATAATTATTCTATGTAGATTTATACTTAAAAGGACACATCAAAATTAGAATTATTAGCTGCTATGTTCATGTCAATGTGACTGATGCTAAATGTAAACATAAGCGTAGACTCCTACAAAAACAAATTCTCAATATACTAGATGAGTGTAATAAACAACAATACTATACAATTGTAATGGGAGATTTTAATATTGATATAGATAACTACTATAAACGTTTAAAACTTAATAAAAATCTTGGATAGCGATTTGATCTAGTAGAAGGATTCTCGCATAGAAATTATACAGACCTACAGTTATTATGTAATGATGATATCCTTCCAACTTTCTTCCCACTACACAGCATCAAAAAAACTTATACTTTTAAGAGACTAGATGGTATTTTCTATTTACCAAACTTCTTTGCTGACCTTCTTTATTGTGGTATTTCGAAACCTCTTATTTATCAATCAGATCACAAGATTGTCACATCATACTTTGCTAACCCTATTAAAAGACAAAAAGCTCTAGCAAGACGCAATAAAACAAAGAAAAAAAAATTCAACTTTGCTATAATGACTGAACAGAAATGGAAATTTTTCGCAGAAGCAACAGACATACAATTTAAACAACACAACATGGATAAATTGTCTTCATTACCCAAATCTCACCATAATATGAACCACATATAGGAATAACTTAGAAATGCCATTACATCAGCTGCTACCAAATCCATTCCCTATAAATGGATTTTTGCAGATCAAAAAGCTCCTAAACCAAAAGAATTAGTAACCTACTATGATCACATAAAATTAATTAATAAAATAGTGATAAAATTTAGAGCCGCTAGGGTGAATTCAAGAACTTGGCCTCTAAAAGATAAATGGAATGCTGATTTAGATATTATCAACAAAGTTACTTCCTCTGCAAAACTTCCTATGACTTCTTTACCAAATATACTCACTGATGCTAATGTTAAAGAAGTTAGAAAATTGTTGTTGAAATTTTATCACAACTTAAAAGCACTTTCTAGAATTGAAGAGACTAATATTTCCAACCATAGAATCAAACACTTCATAGATCAACGATGCCTCCAATACGAATCAAATCCAGGTAAAATGATTCAGTCAGCATTAGGACGCTCAAAAAAAACTATAGTACTAGACCGTCTCATCATTAAGGATATAGATAGAAAGCGATTCTTAATCAATGATCTGCATCTCATCAAAGAACATATTAACAAGCATTTTCAAAACTTTGCCATTCCTGATTCACCTGCTACTTCTTTCTTCGGAAGATGGATAGACCAATATCAACCAAAAGACTATGTTGATGAAACCTGGTTTACCAACCTCATGCAACCACCTATTATGGAAGAATTATCCTCAGTAATTTCTCAACTTCCAAATGATAAAGCCGCTGGTCCTTCAGGAATACATAACGAGATGATTAAATAGTTAGGATACAATACACATAAGCTACTTTGAAAATTGATCAAAATGTGTTTTGAAATTAATGATATACCATCTGAATGAAAGATAGCCCACGTGTACCCAATACCCAAACCAGTAGATTGGGATTGTGATATAACAAAAACTCGTCCTATCACCTTACTGGATACTACACGAAAACTTTTTGTTAAGATTATTACTAATTGTCTGTCTTGAATACTTGCTAAACACAATGTTCTAAAAGGAAATAATTACGCTAGCCTTCCTGGAGGTTTAACAGAAGACCCAATTAAGATAATGAATTTGATAATTGAGGATGCTGTTGATAATAAAAAAGACTTATGGATTCTCTTGCAAGATTTGTCTAAAGCCTACGATAGAGTAGATCTTAACATTCTTAAACTAGCGTTCAGAAGAATAAAAATTCCAGAGAATTGCATTTCTTATATCATCAACTTGTTCACAAATAGAAAAAATGCTATTCTCACCCAGAATGGCCTTTCTGATTACTATGATGTCAAGATTGGTATTGACCAAGGGGAAGTTATTTCTCCTTTACTTTGGTGTATTTATTTCAATCCTCTTCTGTGTGAAATAGACAGTTTGAAAAAAGGGTACACTATAGAATACTCTTGGATTTCTAATGTTAAAGATATGTCTTCATCTTCTTTATCAGCACAAGTTTCTGCGTTAGGATATATGGATGATTCAAACTGGCTTGCACATTCAAAAAAAGACTTGGAAGACATACTAGAAGTTACAAATGAATTCTATACCATTACAAAAGCTGCCATCAATAAATCAAAGTCACAATTACTAACAAATACTGTCACAAGGCCACAATCGATACCTATCAGATTCAGATCTAGTATAGTTGATATTAAACCAGAATTCGACTCAGTTCAGTTCCTAGGGGTCTGGATTAATATACTAAACTCCAAAAATTTCGTTAAAACACAAACCAAAGACACTATCGCAAAATTCATCACAATACTCAAATCAAAACCACTTACCGACAAACAACTCATTTATATCCTCAACATGGTACTCTTCCTATTACTAGAATACCGGTTATAGACTACTCCTCTTTCCTTTAATGAATGTCATAGAATCGCTGTCCCATTAAGAAGGATGGTTAAACACAACTCATCAATGACCTCCACTACTCCTGACTGTTTATTCAAAAGCAGTGTCTTTTACAACTTGAATGATTTATGGACACAACAGCTAAAATCGTATTTTACAGCACTCCTTTATCAATTTAATTCAAAATCAATTTATAAACACATATCAACCATTCGGTTATTTCAATTACAATCACAACACTCACTAAGTGCCTCCCCTTTAAAGAGATGGGACAAAAGATTTGATGCTAAATCCTATAGAAATATAATTGGCGCAACCTTGAGTTTACTAAATCATGATAATATCGGCATCTCTGTGAATACAAATCAGTTTTTAGCTAACGAGATCAAAGGAGGCTCAATGTCCTTAAACCTCATACTTAATGCTGATGAACTAAAGAAATATAGTAATATTCTTCACAAATACTCATTATTTTTTATAGATCAATTCTTGGACATCAATGGTTCTCATTTATTAAATTGGAGAGAAATTACTTGAAGAGATATATACAATCACATACCCACTGCTCACACCCCTAACCTATACTATAGAATAGAAAAAAAATTATTAGATAGCACCGATAATAGATTAGTACATAGTTCTTTTAGATTAAATAGTATAAATAATAGTTATATAGATAGACCTAGTATAGAAATTAATTTAGATGACTTAAAAAAAGAATTTGTAACTATTCACCACCCCGTTTTGGATGTGACTATCATAGGAAAAATCTTCAGAAAAATGAAAATCCAAAACAACATCCTCGTTCAACACTTCATTAAAGCTGACCCCTACGCAGACATTAGCTAAGACTACAATAATAGATCAATTGTTCAATGTCCTGGCTATAATTTCAATGATGATGCTCTATTAAATTTCTGCAAAAAACCACCCAATCACCTTCAAAACATTTTCGGCAGACCTATCACTTATGCCACTTGTATCAAAGAATACAATGCTCTCACTGCTATAGTTGTGAAAAGAATCTGTATAACACACCCACTCAAAAAGATGACATTCATTATGAAACAGACTCCTGAAATTTATATTGCATCTCATCGTTATCAACTGCTGAAGAAAAATACTCTTAATAAATCTATTTCACCTATAATAGCTTTTATATCTAATAGATGTAATGAATGCCCAACTCAGCCAGCAAATGTATTACTCATTAGAAAGTGTGTAAAGGATATATCATATCAGGAAGAGCTTATTAATCTATCTCACTTATGTAAAGATTTTACTACACTTAATTTTTACACCGATGGCTCTCTTTCTAACTCAACTTCAGAAGAATGCAAAATGGGACTAGGATGGATTTGTCCAGATTTAACACATGACTACCTGAATTCCTTTAATGCTGCAGTAGTACATCATCTATCATCCACACGAGCTGAACTATTTGCCCTACTTACTGCCCTACTCGTTTGCCTTAAACTATCTTCACCGACAATATATTTGGATAGTCAAGCTGTTATTGATGGTTATCACAATTTTTGTCTGAATCATAACTTTACAATCAGGACACGTGAGAAAGTACCTAATTATACTGTTTGGATCTTAGTCAATCATATAATCAATGAATTGAAACTCAATATTAAACTGATTAAAGTAAAAGGTCATTCAGGAAACCATTACAATGACATAGCTGATAACTTGGCAAAAGCTGGATGTTTTAAATCATCTTTATTACTCGACCTTACAGCTTGTGATGATTTACAACTCCTTCTCAGCTTCAATCAAGTTCCCGTTGAATCTTCAACTAGGAAACTATGGAAAAACCTCAATGCAGCTAAACAATTTTCAACATTCTTGGACCTCAATAGAAATTCACAATTGATTCAGCAAACTCGTTCTTCTGATATTCATTGGCCAACCTCGTTTTCCGTATTGTCTTCAAATATAGGAGATGCTTCAGCCGCTACTTCATTTTTTCAAAGACGAAGAAAAGGCTTCAAACTAATATTCCTAACTGACAAATTATCCACAATAGACAAGCTCTCCATAAGAAGACCAGATTTATATAAAAATTAGCTTTGTATATATTGTAAATCTTCTAAAGAAGACTATCAACATTTGTGGATATGTTCTCATAGAATACAGACAATCTCTGAGATCTGTTCGTCTACTTTCACTTTCCTTAACAATCTGATCTTAGACAAAATTGGAAAAAATAAAAACAGGCTCAACCTTTACTATACCATTAGATATCAGCTCATAGAACTCCTAGACCCTTCACTTAACCTCACCTCCTGTATATTTTTAGCCAAAGGAGTCATTCCTAACAAAATGTTCTTACTTCTTAAAGAGCTGTTCTCTTCTACTAATTCAACAAGTCTCATTGTGAATACTTCTAATTTTCTCACCAATGCTTTCTATGTTAACATTTGGGCCCCCAGATGTAAACAAATGATTCAGGAAGAAAAGAAAAATGGTATCTCTATGAGACTGAAAAAGAAAAAAGTCAAGATCAAACGTCCCAAAAAAATGAAAGTTCCTATTAAAAGTGTTTCAAATAGTTGGATTACTTGGTGTCATTCTGCTATGAATTTTGGCTTTTCTTGGATTGACTTTTTGGATAGGTACTGATAGTTTCATTTGAATATCTTGTTGACGATCTAATCATCAAATATGGATTTTTTTGGTTTTTTCTGAGGGATGTTCCGGTGATTGGTCAATCCAAACGGATTTGCAATAGAATCACAGGAAATAGTCATAGTTTAATTTTTTATTGTTTTTACTTTTTATTTTTGGTTTTTCTTTATCATTAATTTTATTTGTAATATTATAACATAAATATAATAAACTTATGACAGTACCACATCATAAAAAAAAAAAAAAAAAAAAAGCAATAACGATTGGTTAGTTGTCACGTGTTGGAATAAAATTATTAAAATTCATAAAAATTCTGTTTTATTCCATTATACGGCAAAAATTCCATTTTATTCATTAATTATAAAAATGGAATAATTCTGGGTCTCTGATGCCATGCCAAAAAGTCACGTGTCAGTGATCAGCTGGGAAAGTTCGTTCATTATATTTACCCATTATCACCACAAAAAATTCCACCCACGTGACATTTTGCCGACATTACGGCATTAAGAAATTAACCATGTGACTAATAAAAATTTTTTCGGTGGGGTTAGGTTTATTTGTCACGCTATGGAATGTCGCAAATAAGCATAATCAATTATATCAGCCAATCGGAGATCCATTATCACGTGCTCAAATAAAGTATTTAAAAATGATCAACAACTGGTTTTCCAGAAACACAATCTTTAAAAGTCTCTTTTCAATGGTGGGGAAGTTGATTATTTATCCCAAATTAAGAATGATGGAATGCGACACAATCTGCTCGTTTTAGAAATTATATAAACTGCTTATCATTAAGCTCATTAAGCTTCCCCACCTTTTATTTAACTAAAATATCATGACTTCTGTGTATACCGTGAGTTTTACTTGAATCTATTAAACAATTGTGGTTTGGTCCCAAAAAAAATTACGCATAATGATCCGTTTATACTAACTTTTTTTGTACCTTTCGATAAGATAAATTATGCTCTTCGAGCTCATAAACGTGATCCATTTATCGAATTCATAAAGGTAATTTAATTTATATTTTCAGAATATTACTAAAAAAATTAGTTTTAATTTCTTTTTCAAATTCAATGTACCAATAGGGAATGCTTATGACCCCATTCGTTCTTCACGCGAGACCACTTCCACATATCTATGATCCAACTGAAAAGGAGGATTCCCCCGGTGACGATGATTATCATATGGATGCAAATGTTGCTAGGTATTGTGACATTTTATCAAGCATTGAAGAATTGATCAATGTAAGTATCGAGTATTATGAAGTAAAATGGTAAAATCTTTCATGATTTAAAAAAAAAAAATTTACATAATTTCTTAGGAGCATATTCGAAAACAAGCTAAAGGTTTAAATTTATTCATTTAATTAAGTCTCTGCTTTATGTCTAATCTTAACCATTCCGACTTTAAAACGTTAGGTGTTCCTGACCAATCAAGACTTAAAAGACTTGTTCCTTCAATATCAACTTTTCATACTCAATTACCGCTACGCGAATCATTTGTGTTAGCTAACACCAAGCATTCTATTGCTGCGCGTAGATTTGTACCTCCAAGCTTCAACGATATTCGAAGGTTTGTTTATAGAAATTAATTATTTTCGCGTTTAATTAACGTTTTCTCGCTTGTTAATTATCTTTTAATTAATAGAATATTGAACACGGCACAGGTATGAGTTAATTTAAAATTGATCCGGTTTTACATTAACTTTAACTAAATGGTTTCAACGGTTTAGAACATTGCAATCGCGCCAAAACTCAAATTAATAACATTGTAAGTAAGGGAAACGATGTTTTATTTTGCATCTGATGTTCACCTTTTTTTTTTTCGTTTAATCTAGTGATGGGGATATGACACTTTATGATGATGGGAAAGATTTTGAGCATGATTCAGAATTGGTGAAATTACTTATGAGGTTATTAGAACACGATCTGTATGTTTGTGTGGTTACAGCTGCTGGATATCCTGGAGATGCTTCACGATACGAACAAAGACTATCTGGTTTATTAAAAGGGTTTGAAAATGCACGACTGTCAAAAGAGATGTGTGAAAAGTTTTTTGTGTTGGGTAAGTCAATAAAGTTTGTGGGCACTCGTTCGTTGATTTAAGGTTGAATTAGTCCTATTTTTTTTTTGTAGGAGGTGAATGCAATTACCTTTTACAATGTCAAGATAATTATCATTTAAAATATCTTAAAGAATCGTAAGTTTTATCATGTTAAATATTGTTTATATAGTAGATGTAGTTTCAGTTGTAGCGTATTATTTCTTGACATATAGTGAGTATCAACCACAATGTATCCGCTCCTGGAAACCTGATCAAATTAAAGCCATATTGGATTTAGCTCAAGAGAATTTGCAAAGATGCATTGACGATATGAAGTTGCCGTGTACAGTTTTACGTAAAAGCAAGGCGGTTGGTGAGTATTATTGTGAGTTTTTAATTTAATTTACATCATTTTAACATTAATGGCATGACAGGTATCGTGCCTAAACCTAATGTAAAGATATTTCGAGAACAGTTGGTACGTTCTAATTTCTAAGTACCCTTTTTTAATAACCCGTTGGTTACTTATCAATTTTTTGATTCCGTATATAAATTCATTAGGATGAGTGTGTATTATCTACACAACATCGAATTGTGAATTATCTACAATCACCACGGGGAAGTGAGAATTCACTGCCATTTTGCGCATTCAATGGTGGGAGTGACGTATGGGTAGATATGTGAGTAGAGAATATGTTCTTTGATCATAGGTATTTAAATGAATGTCATTTAAATGTCTCGTTGTTATTTTTTTTTATTATTAGTGGGAATAAACTTATAGGGGTACATATATTACAAGAATTCCTTGGCGCAAAGCCTCATGAAACTTTACATGTTGGGGATCAAGTGAGTGAAACAAAATTAACCTATGAGAATGGGTATGAGACTTGTTTATTTAACGCATTTTAATTATTCCTAGTTTTTGTCTACCGGAAATGATTTCGCTACAAGGCATCAATGTTGTACATTATGGATTGTTAATCCTATTGAAACACAAAATGTGTTGGTCGAATTAACCGCATTATTGGAAGCGAAGAAGCCAGAACGAGTTGTAAAATAACCATACTTTAGTTACGGATGTCCTTGATTATTTATTTATTTATGTTAAATGCTTTGTTGATTTTATATCACTTATCGATCCTTTTTATTTAAACTATATACAATAAAATTTTGCTCGGCCACCAAATGACGCGCCCGATTTGTTGATTGGATGCTTGATCTTTTGTGCAACAATTTGCGAAATTACATTTTTCTTCGCAATAGAAAAAAATATATTAACATTAAATTATAAGGTCATGTTTTTATTAAATGACCTTGGTCTATTCGACTTGATTGATATAAAATTGATGGCATTTCCATCAAATACTTCACGAAGCGCAATTAGTTTCGTTAAAAAAAAACCAATTCAAGCACGCTTATATAACAATTCGATAATCCGAATATTTTCAAAATTTGCTAAACAGATTGCTTACTTGCTTACACTTGGAAAAGCTGTTGAAATTACGCTACAAAGTTAAAAAAACTTCGTGAAAAGTACTATTTATAGATTTTTAAAGCTAATTTAAAGACAAGCAACATTTGATTTAACCAAAAGTACTGAAATTACACTGTGAAATAAAGAAAAAAAGGGAGACGCAAAATCAAAAGAAAAAAGTTGACAATCATTCATGAAGTCATTTTTTATGAAAAATTTATTTTTTTTTAAAAAAAACAGTTATTATAATTACATTTTGTTGTTTTACATTTTTGATTACATTTGATTTACATTCTTTCTTTCGAGGGATATTAAATAAAATTAATTTGATGATGGTAATAATACATAATGAGTTTTTTTTTTTTTTTTTTTTTTAAAGAAAAAAAAATTGTCGTGATAAAATAATTGTAAAAAAAAAAAAAAAAAAAAATTTGTAAAGAGTATTATTATTATTATTCTAAATTAAAATGAATGTGTATTTTTTTTTTTTTCATCCTCTCTTAAATTCGACCAACCTTCTTCCCTCAATTTTTAAGAAAAATGATGAAAATGAAACTACCATTACTACGATACCAAGTACCAAAAACCCAGTTGGAGTGGCTTCAGATGAATAAAGTTTGAATACAGCGTTGAATGCTACACCACCTATGTTTCCTCCCGCACCGACCAAACCTGATATAGCTCCCACGATTGCGGGGTCCACAAAAGGCACGATACCGAAAGACGTCCCGCAACATGCCTAATAAATGGAAAGAAATGATTTAAGCAAAGCAATTTTTTTTTTTTTTTTAAACAAACGCGTGAGAACGATCCCTTGATTTTCTTACCTGAGTGAAATAACTGAACAAGATTAAAATGACGATTGCTTCACCTAAATTCCTCAAGGTAAATCGGAAGATAAACAAGAATAAACCCTCCATAAATAAGATTACAAATTGTATAAGCAATCTACCACGTATCCCAAACTTTTCATTTGCAAAGTCGGAAAGGAAACCTCCGGTAGCACGTGAAAATAAGTTCATCAAACCAAAAAGTGAACCGATCAAACCGGCATTTTTTTGTGAAATTTGGAAATGATCATGAAAGAATACCGCCAAAACATTATCTACGGCAAGTTCCACACCAAAAGAACAAGCGTACATGAACATTAAAATGATGACATTTGGATTCTTAAGAGCCATAAAGAATTGTTTAGCGCCTGGCCTTGGTGGAGTATCACGATGAACTTGTTTTTCTGAATCTTCAATGGTCGTAACATCATCTTTCTTTTCTGCACTGGCTTTATGAACTTCCAAAGGAACGGTGGGATGAAGCCAATCACCTTTTGGACAATCATCGGTGAATAGAAAATCGCACAATCCAACAAGGAAGCAAAGGATAGCAGGAATGATTAGAGTGACACGCCATGATAAAGACTCGGACAAACCGGCAGATGTATTGAATCCTTCAAAGATTAAAGGCATTAATACGTAAGTGATACCGGCTCCCATATTTCCCCAACCTCCTACTAAAGCATTAGCGCTTCCAACCACTTTACTGTCAAACATATGAGTCGTCCAGAATTGACACGGTACAAAGGTTGCACCAAGGATTCCAACAAAGAAACGTACAGCGATTAACCCTTCAGCACTTTGTACCAACCCACTAAGGCCCACAGGTATAGCGCCCACCATGAGTAATACGGACATAACACGTCTTGGTCCAATGCGGTCACATAATGGTCCAACTATAATACGGAAAATGATTGTGGAAGATACGCTTGATATATTACTATCAGCAATTTGATCAGGAGTTAACTTGAGATCTTTTCTAATAGATGTCATAAGGGGTGCAACTGCAAACCAGCCTGTAAAGGCCGTAAGAAATGAAAGCCATGAAAAATGGAATGCTCTCATGTGAGGTCGTGACCCTTTGATAAGATTGATCGCGCTGGCCTTTTGGTTCTCAGCAATGGGGAGCGGATTGGCGAATAATCTAACCATTTTGATTTTTGATTTTTTTTTTAAAAAATTTATTTATGGTTCTTAAATGTTTATTTATCTTTTTTTTTTATAAAATAAAAAATATATATATAAGTCGTTACAAAAAATCGAGGTCAATTCGTTTCAAAAAAGTAAAACGTTTCAAAGATTTTGGAGTTTGCTTCTATTAAAGAGAAAAAGGCAAAAGCAAAGTTCAGTTCTTAGATTTCAAGGGTTTATAAAAGTTTTTTTTTTTTTTTTTTTTTTAGATTAATCTTGTAAAAGAAATTGGAAAGTTCTATCCAAATAATTTCGTATGACCGTTTAACACTCTTTGTCTTATCTAATTAAGTCGAAAATACGTTATAAAGATAAGAATATAATTCGTTCGCGTTAGCAACTTATGATCATCCGTTACATATCATAACAGATAATCTGTCTTTTTGTAATACTTTGTGCTTATCAATTATTGCAATTAGTTTGTTTTAGAATAGAGCAGAGCAATCAAATATGATAATGCATTGATTACGATAGTAAGAAATTGTATGTATCATTATCATTTGATAAAATATAAATTTAAAATCGTCACATTTTCAAGTTTAGATGAACAAATTTCTCTGATATTTTTCATATACGATTTTAAAATTTTGAAAAGATCATTGAGCAAAGTACTGTATAACGAACAATTATATATATATATACGCGCTATTTATCTTATCATGAATCATGATCATTAATCAACGATGATCTCATTATAAGTGATAATTGTTAAATTAATTGAAAGTTTGATAAGAATTTCACCCCCTCTTTGTTCACAATGTTCAATTTGCTGATTATGGCTTATCTTTGCAATAAATCAATTTCTTTTCTTATCAATTAACAAAAAAAAAACTTAATATTGCGGGGAATTTTGTATACCCAGAAATCCGGAAAGACGCGACTTTACGATTTGCTTTTCCCAATTTGGTTTATCTATTATATTCAAAAAATTTTATCAATTACATAATTATATATTATTTAAATATTTGACACTAACAATTGTGTGACGGTTAATGTGTGATCATATGGAAACTCCATTCTTGGTACGATAAATATTTACTTATCTTATAATCGAGAAAATTTCTACCAATTTGGCCATAGTTCCGAAGGTAAATCTTTACTAATTGTTGAGATGTACATCTTGCGATACGCCACTTTTCTGAATTTGTTTTTCAAAATTTTTTTTTTTTTGGATTTTTGATAGAAAACATTCATGTCGTACCTTTTTTTCTCATCTTTAACTCAGCGATAGGAATATTACCTTATCTATTGTCATTATGTTTAGGTTGTACATTGATTTTTGACACGTTTCATTGATTTACTAAATTGAGGTAAAAACTGGTTTTTTCTTTTTGCGTCCATAACATAGTTATCAATTTTATGAATGAACATTATTTTCAGGAGATAAGAAAATAATAATTAAAATCTGATATATCACAAATTTTACGATAAGTGATTCAATTTTAAAAACAATTTGTCTCATGTTATCTCATATAAGATTATCTGAATTAGGGCATCATCAATCGAAATTTTGGTTTTTTCGGAAATGTGGTCTGTTTTACCGAAAAAAACAAAGTTGTGACTGCGCTATCTAATTACTGCGTATCTCTTCGTCTCGACAAGTTTCGTGAGTTTTGATTCGCGTCCGCGCTCCCTCTCTATTATATTCTGGTTACAAAAAGGGCCCTATCAACGACCTAAATCATATCATTTAAATCGCCAAATCTATTAAAACGTTCCGGGGGAGTGGCTTATAACGATCGATGTAATTTAAAAAAAAAACAATGGTAATCGATCTAACGTTTTTTTTTTTGTTTTATCCCCGAAACTCAGGTTTCAAACTTGTCAGAATTTGTATCACGAATGGAACGTTTCCGTGAGCCGAAAGTGGTTAATGGCTTTTCACCATTTGTTTTTAAAACGCAATAAAGGATTCTCGTTAAATGGTTTATCTTTTTACGAAAAGGAATAAATTAAAAATTTTTTGTTTAAAAACACTTTTGCGATAAACACGTGTTACATCAAATCTTTGATCATACCACACGGGGAATTTAATTTTGTATGGTGGGAAAAAAAAGAGATTAGAAAGTTGTCCTTGCACGGAGTCAACTTGTAAGATTTTAAGATTCCCTTTAATATAAATAATGAAATATGGAAAGATTGGTGGAAAAGATTGATAAATTGATGAATGCTAACCCAAATTTATCCTAGGGAAAGAACTAGGTAATTAACCGATCCCTTAAAACGCAATTCTCAAAAAAAAAAAAAGGGTGAGGGATTAATAACTATAGCATACTGCATAAATATATATGACACGTGTCAAATGTCTCTTGCGAATTCGGTTGTATTCCGGCCCGAACATATTTTTCTGCATTCATTAATATTTCTCTCGTGTAGCGTAAATCTTAACAAGGTAAATGAGCGGTTAAACATTTAATCGACTTGTTAAATTTTAATTTATTTATTATTTTCAATCACAAAATCTTATCTTAAAAAAATAATTTTATTTTGACAACTATGTAAACTGGAAATTGATTCATAATAACAGTTATGTAACGTAACAAAAAAGAAAAAACCGGAATTTCT